CCCCCCGTCCCGTCCGACGCCTCCCGCCCCCAGCCCGGGGCCCGGCCCCCTCAGGCGCGCGGCCCCAGCACCTTTACCTCCATCCCTGCGGCGCAGCCCCCAGCGCCCGGCAGCCGCCTCCGCCGCGCTTCAGTCCGACGTAGCCGCGAGTACGGGTCAGAGGTCGCTTTCTCCCGACGCCCCGCCCCGCGTCGCCATGGCTACAGCGGGCGGAGCTTCCGCTTCCGCCTTGCGTCCGGGAGGCGGTTCCGCCGCGCGGGCGGGACCCTGGTGGCTGCGGTCCGCCAGCGAAGCAGGTCGGGTGTGGGAGCGCGGGGGCGGGACTGCCAGGGGTCACTCCTGTGCCCTTCCGCTCCCTCCGCATCGCAGGACTTCTGCCCAAGCCCAGCATCTTTCTTTTCAAAGCAGATGAGCACAGAAGGGAGGAGGGGCCCGAGGTCAAGCGAGAGTGACTGCGTATCAGCTAACCAGGCGTTGTGTTACATTTTGCTTTGAGCTGAGTTAATAATGCTCACGACCCATCAAAAGCTCTTATTACTCTTACCGCTAGCACCGTTTGTTTCAAAGGTACAACATCCTTGATAGTCCAGATTAAAAACAAAAAACAAAAAACGGACAGAAATGTGAGAATTCCATGCAGAATTGTCTTGGAACAGCTTGTATTCTGTGACCTTGCTAAACTCTCCTGTTAGTTGTAGGAGGTTTTTTGATGATTTTTAAAAATGGAATCATGTCATCTGTGCAGAGGAACTCTTTTTCTGTCTTTTCAATAATACATCTTTTATTGCTTGCTTTCTCTCCTTACAGCTCAGACCAAGACTTCCAGTGCGTCGTTGACTAGGAATGCCTGCCTTATCTGATCCATGGGGGAAGTAGTCTTTTCACCATGGAATATGTTAGCTATGTTTTCTTCAGATTCTTTTATGAACCTTCTGCAGCTGCACCTAAAAAAAAAAGAACTTTGTAAATGTCACTATTGTCTTTATTATGAAAATTAAATGCAGATCTGGTGAAATAATAATATAACCTTCCCCTTCTGCACTTCTGGGAATGGGTCTATACCCGTGGTATCCCTCTTGGCTTACTAAGTACTCTGCTTTGTGACGTTGTCAGTATATGTAAACTTTTAGGTGTGGCCCAAAAGTTATAGTTTTGTTATTTAGGGCCTCTGTTCCATTGTGGTGACATGTCCAGGGAGATAGCTGCACTTTTTCATTTATCTCTGCCTACCCCAAACACATGTACACTCAGGTATATTCATCATCCGTCGGGGCTGGGGATTTAGCTCAGCGGCAAAAGCGCCTGCCTGGCAGGCGCAAGGTCGTGAGTTCGGTTCCTGGTACCGGAGAAAAACCAAAAACAAAAAACAAAACATCATCCGTCTGCAGTAACTGATAATTTGTGGTCAGTCTTGTTTCACTTTTCTTATCTATTGCCTAATTCTCTGTATTGTTTTGAAATAAGTACAGGACATCATATTTCACTTACTTGTATTCCTAAATATATCTCTAAAAGTCAGAGACACTTTGTAAAATGTAGAAAACACTTAGCACACAAATAAATGAATCTCTAATATCACCACATACCAAATAAGTCCTCAAATTTTCTAGATTTTTTTTTTATTAACATACTGTTGGGGTTTGGTTGCTTGGTTCATATTTTAAGCAGGGCCTATGCATTGCAACTGCATTCGTATTATCACTTAAGTCTCTCTTAATCCTCTGTCTTTATTTTTCCTTGCAGTTATTAAAGAAATTGAGTCCTTGGGTTTACTTCCCCATGGACTCATTTTCCCTTATTATTTCACTGTTTTCGATAAATCACTGAAGGTTTGATCGACTCTGGTTTGTGCTTCTCTGCACACGTGTGCGCACATGTGCATGTGAAGAACAGGTCACAGGTGATGGAATTCCATCAGGAGATGGCCAAAACCTGTCTTCTTGTGGTGTGAGCAGTACTGATGATTATTTTTGGGTCCATTAATTCAAGAGTTGCAAAATGGTGATGTCCTGAATCTATCATTCTTCACTGATTTATTATGGCAGCTGAGATACTTCCCTCAGGAGAAACTCTCCTTCATTAATAATTTTGTTCTCTGAGGATCAGTGTTTTTTCCTGTATTCACTGATTTTCAAAGCAGTGGATTTCAAAGCAATCCTCACGCACGGATTTTGGTGGTTAACTGACTGATTGTCAAGTCGAGTGGGGAACACGTGAGTTGAGTCCGCGTGGTTCTGGGCATGGAAGACCCACTTTAAGGAGAATGCTGTCGGTGCGGTGTAAAAGGAGAACAGGACGGAAGGGTTCTGGCTGGCCTTCCTCGGAGGAGGTTCCTTGCAACTGCTTTTCTTCAGAGGCGCTTCGGTGATTTTTTCTTCGAAAGGGCTTTGGCTGTTTTCTTCCTTCGGGGAGCTTCACGCAATCCTCGTCTTCCCCTTGGACGGCATCCGGCCTTCCAGTGCGGATCCCTCCGCCTTCCTGCTCAGATCCTTCAGCCTTTTGTCACGGACAGTTCCGCTTCCAGCACTAGCTCTTGGGTCTTTTTGGTGGAGATCCGTCAGCTTTCTGCTGCAGCCTCACATGGGACATTGCTGTGGGCTCCGAGCCCTGACGGGGTCTTTTGGGTCTCCAGGGCACAGACAGACGTTTTGCACTCTTCTACATCAGACTCTAGTAAGCGTTGACTAATGCGTGGATTTAAGAATGTGTGATGAATTTCAGTCCGTTGTCGCTCTACCCACGGTTCATTTTGCTCCACTCATGGCTCTGGGAGGGGGCCTCTCCAGGCTGCCTCTGGAGTTGACCATGTCCTCTGACAGACCTTGCATCAAGGTTGGAGGGAACCCTAGAGGCTGGCTGCAGCACCCTCTCCTCTTTCCCGTGCAGCTTATTTCTGCTTAGAGTTCAGGGAGACTTCCTGAGGCTCCAGCTGCGTACTCACAGCGGCCTCCTCCTGATGCTACTAGAGATGACCCTAGATATTTCCCCAACACTGCAGTCATGGTGGACCTGAGGATGTCCATATGCTCTTTTCTACTAACCTGACAATTCAAATATAGCAGCGAATCGCATTCATATAGGCTGAACTTATTCAGCACATTATCCCACTCTTTAACTCCTCCAATCCCTTAGTCCCTTCAGATTCTCTTCCTCATAATCGAGCTAAACAGGGTCATCTTGAACAAGTAAAAAGTAAAACATATTTGCTGTTTTTTTATTTCTCATTTTCGCTGTCCTGATTCACTTCTCCTGCGGTAAGAAGGAAAGATGAACACTTTGATTTTATGAGCTTTCTGTGCAGTGCACTAAGTGGAATACACAGAGAAGGTGGAATAATCCTATAATATGTAAATGTATATAAAATAACAGGCGTATATGAATGAGCATGTATAAATAAAGTATAAGTAAATTATACACATGAACCCCAAGTAGACACTACGGATCCTGGGACTCGAACTCAGGACCTCACACTTTCTAGGCAGGTGCTGAGCTAAATCCCTGGCTAGATACTACATTTCCGGCCCAAATTACTTCACTCTGCTGCCATGGCAAATGCTTCCTTTACTTAAGGGAAATGTGTGGTAATATTCCTATTTTGATAAATAACTTGAAGAACTCACTTGTAATAACAGAGCTGGTTACAAACAGAGACCATATGGGCCGGGGGTTTAGCTCAGTGGCACAAGCACCTGCCTGGGAAGCGCAAGGTCCTGAGTTCAATTCCTGGCACCAAAAAAACCAAAAAACAAATAGAGACCATAATGTTAAATTAAATAAATAAATGAGACACACAAGTTTAAATGAGTGGTTTCTCTTATATAAAAAACCCAAATTATAAATAAAGAGCAAATAAAAGGTAGGTAATAGGAAGTAGGGACTCTTTCTCCAATGCGAGGGGAGTGAGAGAAGAAGGGGAGAGAGGGCATGGGAGAAAAAAAGAACTGAAGTGGGGACAGGAAGTGGAGCTTTTGTAAATGGGAAGGGGATCAGGCATTGGGAGGAGCCGGGAAGGGTAGGAAGGGCACAGGGCTAAGAGAGTTAAGGTGTGTTGTGCAATGAGCCACTCCGCATGAACGTCGTCATCATGTGCTGCAAACATGTACTAGTAAGACCAGATTACGTAGAGTCTGTACTTCATCTATAAAAAATTTAAGGACAAACACAGCAAGAAACAGTGGCGTTCCAGGAGCGGGTCAGTAGCCCTGCACAGGAACCAAAGGGAGCCTTTCTTTGCTCTTGCTCCCCTGCCCAGGGCTCGGTGGTGCTGTCCAGCAGTCGCAGCGGCAGGTGGAGCAGCACCTCCAGAAGATGGGGTCCAGGGCCCGGGGCCCAGGAACCGCTTCATGCCGGAGCAGCCCACGGCCACCGTCCTTTCCGGTTGTCGCTGTACAGGACAGTTACTCTCTGAGGTGATGGAGCGGGCACAATGTCCTGGACTGTCGGCCAGCCTCTGCTACTGTTCCCCTTCAGGAAAAAACCTTGTTTTTTTTACTCGACTGGTTATAGTGATTGTTGAGTGTCCTAAGTACGTTTATTGTCTTTCATACTAAAGGATATTTGTGAATTGATTGTGAGCACTCTGAGGTGTTCTGAGACCCTTAAATCCATTGCAAAGACCTTATTTAGATTTTAGGAAACTGTCTCCTTTATGCTTCATATCCTCTGAATTGAAGATTAGTGCACATTTTGAAGACAGGTGTTACTCAGTGAGGCTGGTTGTGACCTGCTTGACAAATACATTCCTTTCAATTTAAAGTAACACAGGTGCATTGAAGACTGTCTGAGAAACACAGGACAGTCTCACAAAGAAAATAAGAACTACCTGACCGTGTTATGGATGCAGGACAGGAAACTGGGGCCGGGTATTTGGCCCACTGCACAGAGAGGACCCTGCTGGATGCTTAGAGGCTCTTTCTGGGGACAAGTGAGGCAGCCCCCCTGCACTCCACTGTCTCCAGACAAACCACACGGAATGCATTGGTTACTTAGGAAGGGCCCAGAGAGACTACTGACCTTTTTGTGTTGTTAGTACAGCAGTACATTTTACTCAGAAAACTCTGTCCTTGGGTCTTTAGAACTTTAGTTGGAAGTCTTAGCATAAGCATGGGAAAAGTACGTTACGCATTCTGTGGGTAAAATGTGGTTATTTAGGTATTTAGCTATTAGTTTAAATACAGGAATGCTT